CAGTGACGGAGAAGGAGGAGACAGAAGAGAAGAAGGAAGAGGCCAGAGTGGAGTCAGGGTGGTGCAAAAGGGTCCGTGGGAGCTCTGCGAGCGAAAGGCGGCGGAGCGTCGTGAGCAGCAGCGGAAAAAGGAGGAGGAAAGAAAGAAGGAGAGTCGAGGCCGAAGTCGAAGCCGCAAGAGGCGCAGGGGTAGAAAGAAAAAGAGAGAAGCAGTCCCAGAGCCCAGAGAGGGTACGTCAGGTACAGCTCGACGAAGAGCCAAAAGAGATCGGACGCCAGAAATCAGAGGAGGCGAACAGCGGAGAGTTGTACTCAAGGAAGCCAAGGAGGTCCGCTTGGCAAAAGAAAGCCTGGCCGGAGAGAGGAAGGCCGTGGAAGAGCTGGGGCGGAGCGAAAGCGATAGTGAACCCTGTGAAGAGGAGTCAAGCCCTTCCAGCGCCCCCTTGAAAGTGAAGGGGAAGACACCAGTTTGATGAGTGCGGAGTTTGAAGCTGGAGTTGAGGAGAGTCTCGAGTTGACGCAGCGGTGGCTGAAGGAGGAGGAGTGCGGATCCCTAAGCATATCGCAGTCAGGAGGACTCCTAGCTTTGGTGTGCTTAAGAAGTGGGACGAACCTGGGCGCTTACCTCAAACGGTCCATCGAGCCGCCGGGGTCTGACGACGGCAAAAGCGGGAGGCGAAGGGAGATCCTTCCGCTGCCGCTGTGGGCAGATGGAAAAGAGGAGCTCAGGAACCTTTTTGATCCAGACTTCAGAAAATTCGGTGGGGCTGAAAAGAAGGCCTGCCGACATGCAAGGCGTGCCGGTTTACTGATCTGGCACTCGCTCTCTGTGGTGCTCCTCAACTTCTTGTGGACTGGTGGTGGCAGCCAGGCAAAAGTCCAGCGAGGAGCAGTGACGATGAGTCATGGTGAAGGCTTTCGCTGATGATAGTTCGGAGTCCAAGAGCAAGATACCTCGATCCCCGGAGATGGGAGGAGAGTGGGGTAGAAAAATTGGTGACGTCCGTATTTCTTATCAAGGTGAGATCGTCGAGAAAGGGCAAAGGTTGACTTTGGATCAGGTGTTGCCTGGGCCACCTCCTGAAGGTTATGGAGCATCTCTACCATTGGTGGAGCTGTGTGAGGGTGAAGTAAGAGAGAAGCTCCTAAATCTCTTGGGGAATATTCTTCCTGACGAAGAGATGCCCCAAGAGATCCCTCGGCCCCAGATCCATGCCACGAGGCAGGAGTGGGAGAAGATTGCAGCTGAGCGGTACAAGAGGGGGTTGGTGAAGACGGTGGAGGCTCCAGTGTTGGTGAGAGATAGATTCCTGGTCAATGGCAGCTTTGGAGTGGTGAAGCCCGGCAAGTTTTTGGATGATGAACGTCCCATCTTGAGATTGATCATGGACTTTAGGGGGACAAATGCTGCTACCAGAGTTCTGGAAGGCGATGTCAGGAGCTTGACAGGAGCGCCCGCCTTGCAGCATGTAGTATTGCCGGCCGGAAAAGTGAGATCTGGTGTCGGCTTTCTATTTGTTTGCACTGCCACCTGGATGGCCAGAGATGATGACGTTTGCCGAGAAGGTGCAGTGGAGGAGTTTAGGTTTCGATAGAGAAGGTGAAACCTATTTTGGAGCGGCCGTACTGCCGATGGGATGGGCCTCGGCAGTTGGGGTATTACAGCATGCCCGTCGAAGACTGGCCCTGAGATCCCCTTTGCAAGGCGGAGGAGGCCTCCTAGGACAATGCGAGATTCGAAGGGACAGTGTCTTCCCGAATTTGGAGGAGGAAGACAAGCTATGGTCGCTATACTTGGATGACACGAGCTTGTATGAGATCATGGAGGCCCGAGTTGCGGAAGACTTGGAAGGAAAGAGCTCGGAGGAGCAGGAGGCTCTGCGGCGAGCTTATGCCCACTGGGGGATTCCCTTCTCAAGGGAGAAAAGCTTGCAGAGGGCAAGGAGGGCCGAACAATTAGGTGCAGTGGTGGACGGTGACAGTGGCGCCTTAAAAGGTTCGACGAAGAGGGCCCTCGACAGCTTGTCTTTCATTTTCTGGCTGCTGCGGCAAGAGAAGGCACCGTGAAAGGGACTACAAGTCTTCTTGGGGCGAGAGGTGCGCACGCTGCAGTTTCGGAGACCGCTCTTTGGAGTGTTCGAAGGACATTGCGGACGGCGAGGTGCTCATCCCGCTGAGTGGGAAGTCAGTTGAGGAAATCCTGATGGCAGGATGTAGCCAGGCCCTGAGGGTGACAGATTTACGAGCTAAGTTGCATGAGGTTGTGACTGCATCTGATGCGAAGGAGACAGGAGGTGGATCGGTGTACGGGTCAAAGTTGACGTCCCGAGGGCTCAGAGAGATGTGTGCCCTGGAGGAAGCGGAAGATGATGTAGGAGGAGAGGGTATTAACTTGGACGAGCCGCAGAGGGTGTTGGTCTTTGACCTCTTTGCAGGAATTGGAGGTTTGAGTCGGGCGCTCTTGCTGAGTGGTGATTGAGAAGGACCCGGACTGCCGGCGTCTAAACAAAACAAGGTGGCCCGGGCGCGATGTGGTGGCAGACATCACCCGAGTGACAAAAGGGGACATTGAAAAGTACGTGAGAAGTGTGCCGGGCCTGACAGGAGTCGTGGCTGGAGGTGGATCCCCTTGCCAGGGGATATCGAAACTGAATGCTGATCGAATTCACCTTCAAGACCCTCGGTCTAAGTTGTTCTAGAAGTATGTGGAGGTCCTGGGTTGGATCGAGGACATCGCCCGAGGGATGAAGGTTTGGTCCGTTTTGATGGTGGAAAATGTCGTGGGGGATGATGAGGACATCTCTCTATGTCTGTGTAAGCTGCAGTTCCACCGACCCCAGACCCGACGGGCTTGGACAGGGCCCTAGAGAAAGCAAAGAAGGCAGTGACGGAGAAGGAGGAGACAGAAGAGAAGAAGGAAGAGGCCAGA